GTTGAGATCAAGGGAGATTGCATCCATCAAGGTTCAATGGAAGAATCGACCAATTGAACAGCCCACTTGGGAGAAGGAGGCGGATATGCAAGAAAGATACCCACACCTGTTTACAGATTCAGGTACTCCTTTTCGCCCTTGTTTTTCTTCTTGTGATCGTTCGAGGACGAACGATGGGTAAATTGGTATTTATTGTAATGACCTGTTTAGTCGTTTTGAGCAGCAGATTTTATTTTTGGAAAAACTGGCTGAGACGACGGATCCCACAACGGACCGTCATGGGTACGACGGACCGTCGAGGGGGTCTCGTTCCAAAACACTTAGAATTCTGAAATTTGGGTACTGAAATCGACTCTCTGAACTTCGTGACGGAATGGCAGGACGGACCGTCGCAGGCGTGACGGGCCATCACAGATCCTTTAGTGAAATTTACTCTCTGAACTTCGTGACGGAATGGCAGGACGGACCGTCACAGGCGTGACGGGCCGTCACAGATCCTTTAGTGAAATTTAGTCTCTGAACTTTGTGACAGAAGCAGCAGGACGGACCGTCGCAGGCACGACAGGCCGTCACAGACTGCGTAATCCCAAGCTGGGTCGGATGTCTGTTTAATATTTTAAGGGGCGTTTTGGACTATTCCTGCTTATAATTATAAAGTTAGTGGTTGAATATTAATAATCCAATTTCTTGAGGGTTAAAGGAGATAACCTTAAACTAATTAGTGGGTTACTTTTGTCATCTTTTATACTTAATTATATGCTAATTAGGGTAAAAGAAAAAGGGTTTGAATAAGAAAGATAGAAAGAATAGAGAGAAGAGGGAGAAACGATCGAGAGAGAGAGAAACGAAGAAGAAAGCAAAGATTTTGAGGATTAGCTTGCTTGATCACAATTCTTCGGTGGAGGTAGGTTATGGTTTTTATGCTATTCGTAGTAAACTCTTAATAACGAGTGATATGTATTGGGTAGTATTGTAAACCCTTCTATATGCTTAATTGTGTGTTTGCATGATGTTATGGTATAATTGTGATGAAATAAGCAGGATGAAGCTATTGAATCCTAAATCTTGAAAACCTATTGTTAATGATGATGCCTTGGTATAAAAGAAGGCTTGATGAACTAAAAGAATGAGGTTAGGGGATCGGGTGTCACGAACCGACACGTAGTAATAGGGGGAGCGGGTGTCACGAACCGACACGTAGTATTAGGGGGATCGGGTGTCACGAACCGACACGTAGTATTAGGGGGATCGGGTGTCACGAACCGACGCGTAGTATTAGGGGGATCGGGTGTCATGAACCAACACGTAGTATTAGGAGATCGGAGTGTCACGTTCCGACACAAGAGGAATAAAGAGAGTGAATCTTGAATTATGGTAATATACTCAGATTTAATGAACCTATTTTCCCAAATGAGTATGATGGGGAGGCGTGAGTCCTCATTGATGTGCTTGGTGTTGTGACCAAGGGTTATGGTAATTGTAAATGCCGCATGTTGAGTATTGTAGTTGATTTTATGATATTATTTGATATATACTGTTTTCTATTTTGAGTTGGCCGATGGATATCTACTCAGTACGTGTGTTTGTACTGACCCCTACTTGTATGTTTCTTTCTTTGTTATTTGTGGAGTACAGCAAACGTACCGTCGTCTTCAACTCAACCGCAACTCTAGCCAGTCTTCATTACACCCGGATTTCAGGGTGAGCTAACGCTTCTAGCTTGGACTGGATCTTCTTTTTTTATGTCTTGATGCCTTGAAGTTCCAGCATGGACTAGCTTTTTATTTATTCTAGCTTTCTAGATACTCTTAGAATTAGTAATTTGAGGATAGATGTTCTTGTGATGATGACTTCCAGATTTTGGGAATATTAAGTATTGAGTTTTTAGAAGTTATTTAATCGATTTTCATTAATGAGTTTAAGTCTTCCGCATTATTATGTTATTTATGGTTGAAATGTCGGGGCTTAGATTGGTTGGTTCGCTCATATAGTAGGATAAGTGCGGGTGCCACTCGCGGCCCGCTTTGGGTCGTGACAATAGTCTATCATTATTTCCTTTATTGTTGTAATGTTTTGAATCTATGAGCCATTTAACTAGTACTTGTTAAATTACTTTCAGATGATTATTGGAGTTGAGTTTAAATTAAATCTTTTAAAGTTAGTTTTGCATCATTAGTTTAAATATATTGTTGAGTAAGTCTTCCACTGAGTAATTATTCAGGTCAAGGGTTAGTTTGGAAACCAACAATGGTTTTCGAGTATAAGTTACGTCCAGGATGTAGGCTTGGGGAGTGACAAAAAAAAGAATCTTATTTTGCATAAATATATTTAGAAAATAGTATCATCCATCAAACTACTACCTATACTCACCTCAATCTAATAAAATTGTTGAAAGAGAAAACCAAACTTTGAAGGAAATGTTGAATGCCTTACTTATAAGTTCAGGTTTATGAAAAAACCTTGTGGGCGGAAGCTATCATTACAACGAAAGCGAACGACAAAAAGTTTTGTATGTTCAGAAAGGGAGCAACAAAAGTTTTGTTTGATCAGAAAGGGAGCATCAATAGTTTTGTCGGTTCAGGATAGTAAATTGTTTGTCGTCCCTTAAAGTATATACATACAATTAGGGGTGTACAAAATCGAACCATAAATCGAACCAAACCTCAAATAGTCAAACCGAAAAAAAACCTGACTAGTGGTTTGGTTTGACTTGGTTTGGTGTTAGGAAAAAAAATCCGACTATATTTGAGTTTATTTCGTTTCAAATAAAAAGAATCAACCGGAGACCAAACCAACCCAATATTATATATATAATTTTGAAATTTTTTTATATATAAAAATACTTATTTTGATATAACTTTTAAATATCTCTTATACTTTTTCTTAGTTTTTATCTTTTAATATATTTATTTCATGTTTGGAAGTTAGAATTCTTAATGATCTAATAAAAATTATAGTCCATAGATGTTGTTAACTAATAAAGTTTAAATAAAAATCAAATTAATACTAATGCAAAAAGAAAATCAATTCAACACTAAGAATGACAATAATATTGAATATTTATTTTTTAGTTTTACATAGATTTAGACAATTAAAATACATGATCTAATTTTACTTTCTTTTAATATTTAGTCATGTAACTAATATTTACTAAATTTATTTAAGCATGATTAGTACTTTAAATAATGATCAATTTCATTATGACTTATTAATTTGTAATATTTTTTTAATGCGATTTTATTATTTTTTGTTGGATATTTTAGTGCATTAATCATATCATATATTTTTTGTTATTTTCTTGAGAAATAACTTGGATAGTTGAATTTTGGTCGGACTAAAAAAATGTTTGAAGTACAAGTAAATTATATATTTGTATAAAAACTTTATCACAAAAACTGAAAAACCTGAAGTTGAAAAACTTGAGTTTTATTGGTTTGGTTTGATTTATAAATCTAACAATCCGACACAAATAATTTGATTTGATATTTGAAAAATGCGAACCAACCCGGTCATGTATACCCTACATACAATATCTCTTGGAGGGATAGTGATCTAACAATTCTCAAGACACAGTTTATTTCATTCGAGAAATGAAAAAGAAGGAAATCCAACTTAAGTATTTCAAGCCGTGGGAGAAATTATTAGAAAAGATAGTAGGAAATATAATTGAAAAAGAAGATGGGCTTTGAAGTTTGTAATCACTTTTTAGGATAAATACAAACAATTCTCTTCAAGGGTACAACAAAATCCCTTGCACAGATATGCAGATTTTCTTAGGCTACTTCTAGAGAGTTTTTCTATTTATAGAACCTAAAAGAAAACTCTTATGAGTCATGTTCTTTCATGAACATATGACTTTTCAGAAGAATCATGTTATTTCATGAATGAACAAATTACTATTCATAAAGGTTATGTTTTTTCATGAACAAATGACTTTTCGTAGCAGTTATGTTCTTTCACGAACAAATGTATTTCTTCATTAAATATCTTTATATTACAAAATATTCAATAACGTCATCTTTCACTTAGACATATCAACTTGATTTTATTTATTTTAGACATTTCATATCGCACAAAGATATAAAGCTAAGTGAATGATGTGATGGGTCCCAGGCCCATATTATAAAGTCAGTGAAAATAATGTCTTCACAGCACTAATAAAAGCTCTGAATCGTTTAGCAAAAAGAAAAAAATGGTTCCACTTTTTAGAGTTTAGAAAATACTAAAAAGATTAACTTTATTATTATGAAAGAAAAAGGTTAATGTAATCGTTTTGATATTTGTGGTCATATATAATTGTGGTCATATAGCAGCTCTCTTTAAAACACACCAAGATCTTTTAATTAAAGGACAGGTACCAAGAATCTGTTCATTCCTCAATAATGGAATAATAATTGGACAATATTTAATTTGAAATCCTCATTAATTAGACATTGTAAATGTAGGAAAAGAAAATAGTAAAGATAGGAAAGACAGACAAAGTGTAGTAGTAGGATTGCTTCATTCTTAATCAAATGTCTCATATTCGAATTTCTGATTTAGATAAAAAAATTGTTGGGAGCACTATATTCAAGAGGGTTCTGTAGAGCTCTAATACGAGAGTTATGAACACCTAGTAAGAAATAAAAAAAAAAGATTTAACCAAATGAAGTGACTACATCAAGGACCTTAATAATCTCAATCTTATTCTTGAAAAAGGATCAATTTATCTCTTTGTTCAAAGATGAAATCTCTTGAACGTGTCAGATAAGCTAAGTCTAAATATATTTAAAGAATGTCACTCCATAGACAATTCACCCACCCCACCCTCTTGCACTTCAATAGGGACCCGACCTTGAACCTGACCCTGACCATGACTATGACTAGAGACCAAACTCCTAACTAGCTTAATTTTTCAAGGATACAGAATACAGACAAACAGAGAAAAATAGATTAAAAGAAGTAGAAGCTTTGCTTCCTCCATTGGTTTTATTTTACTATGGAAAAAAACACACAAGAACTATATAAATCTTCTTCACATTATTGGCCAAAATATCATATAATTATACTGAATGATCCATCCAAACATCTTTTACATAATTTAAAGGTGTCATCCCTTATGCATCAATTTATCACTACAGCTATGACAATCTGTCTTTCCTGATATGATGAGAACTACAATAATATTTCATCACTGTCATGAATTTCAAATCATACAAACCACTAACAAGACATATTATACACCATTCCCTAGCTCAAATACGCAATTATTAAATAAGTACAATCCATAATATGCGTCTAACTGAGATTGGAACCTTGCAGACCCCAAATCATGGCTGATGCAGCAGAATTCTCTGCATCTTTTACACGCGTCTTCTCATCTCCCATCACAAAAACCACGCCTTTAGCTACTGCAACTTGCACTGAACAAATAAACCTCCTATCATGAGAAGGGCCTACCTGTTTCTCAATTCTGCAAACATCGTAAAGCAAACAATGAGGAAACTCAATCACAGTTCAAACATGTTTACCAAGTATTCAGTTAAGTGGTGTCTGTAGCTTAATAGCCAAACACTTGATGGATAATAGCCCATCCGTCTCCCTACTAAACTTAAACACAAGAGTTGGTTCATTAGCTAGAATTCAAACTCGTGACATGTGCCTATTACACATCCCCAGCTGTACTACCTTCACTGTTAAACAAAACTCCTAGAGGCTCGTTAACGTACATCTAACATCCATTTATATCATACTTGATCCTTTATACTCTTGTATCCAGATTACTACCAACCTATTCTACACAATCATATCATGAAGACTACTTTTACTATAACTATCAAAGTAGTTATTTCAAATTAAGAAGTTACCATTCTTTCTAGAATGGAATACGACGAAAATGTTGCAACATAAACTGGTAGGAGGGCGTACAGTTTTGCACCTAATGATTCAGTTTGCAATGTATAGAGTAACGACTTCATCTCAGTTGGAGAAAAAAAATTTAACCTGTAAGTTGGAGCGGGCCATTTCTTTCTTCCACATAGCTCATTCAGCTTCTGCTTTGCTCCTCCAAACTCAGTGTTTGGTTCGACTTCAAGATCCAGCTTACTAGTATGATTACAGGCCAACTTTGTGATTGCAGACTTTGCAGCGTGAAGTTTAGCATTTTCCTTGTTCTCAGAAGTAGCGGAAACAACAAATTGACCATCAACATAAACACTAGCTATGTCTTTCTCTTCTTTTCTCCAATGCTTTATATCAACATGTTTCCCGTCCTTCTGGCAAAGCTCATACAGCATAGTTACAGGCTGTGGTTGTTGTGCAAGCAAGTCCAGTGTGATAATCGGCTCGAGGAGGCGATTAATTTTCTAACACAAAATGAAACTAAACTAATCAGAACAACGGGATAATCTGCAAGACAAGATACCCGAATTTCTAGGTCGAAAAAAAACAAAACTGGATTGGTTTTTTCTAATAATGAAAGCTGAAAAGACGGAAAAACATTCCTTTCATGTGAACTTACCGTTTTCTTTTTCGATACATAACAATTTCAAATCCCAATTAGTAAATTTGAAACACATATCTCTCTCATACACATAACTTAATAAACCTTTATTAGTTAGGTGACATGAACATATTTCATTGTAAACACATCTAAAATGACATTCTACGAAAGGAAACCTAAATATATATATATATAATTCAGCAAATTATGCAACAATAATTCGAAAATATATCCAGACAAAGGAGACACAACTAACCTTCCAGAGAAGCTTCAGATCAAAGTGCATATCCACATATACAGCTGCCACCACTGACTCCACAATATCAGCCAGTACCTTCGGGGCCTTCATTACTCCTCCGTGTACCTCCGCCTCCTCCTCCTGTTCTACTGCTATCACGAATTCCTTCACCTAATATCCAAATCCAAATTTTTAACTCTCTCAATTTCATTATTCCTAAAACAATCAATTCAACCCAAACTAATAATTTCACACAAAAATACTTGCTACAATCAAATCCTAACCATAAAAAAAATAAAAAGAACTATCCCGGCATATCAATTCTAAATTTAATATTCATAGATATAAAATGTACCTTTTCATCGAGGGTAGTAGTGTTGTGGCGAACAAATTTATAAAGAGAGTGCTTAACGGCGACTCTCGCAAGCTTTTCAGTGCTAACATTAGCAGAGCGGAGGAGAGAGAGTTGCCCAGGGTCAAGTTCAGGGTAAGTCAAATAAACAAAATTCGATATAGCTAAGCCAAGAGCAGCATCGCCGACGAACTCAAGGCGTTGATACGACGGAGAATCGGTGCAGGAAGAGTGCGTAAGAGCTTGTTCGAGAAGTTTCTTATTCTTAAAATTGTAGTCTAAAATCTCCTCAACTGCCCTTATGGATGCCGCCATATCTGTGATGATATAGTCATCGTCGGGAATTAATGCGATGCTCTTATTGATTGGATTTGTCAGAATGACGCAAGATTCCGGTGACTCCATCATAATCCGGTGGGTCAGCGGTACTCTGTTTTGATGATGATTGTGCAGAAAAAGTGATTTGTCAGTACTTTGAATGAACTGCATTGTAAAAAGGAGAGGGTTTTTAGGATTTTAGGGGGAAAGACCAATGTTTGATTGAATTGTAACTTTGGGGTATTTTTTCGTCTCAATTTATAGGACACAGTTTAAATCTGATAACTAAAATTTGGAAAAAAAATCTTTGACCATATTTATTGTTCTTCCAATTTTGTCTAAATTCATATAAAGTAAATTTGTAAAGTTGTGTACATTCATTAAAAAAATATTTAAAGACATAAGTTAAATTATTATTCTTTTATGAAAAAGGCATAAAATCATTATTAAAGTTGCTTCAAATTTTCAAAAAGATATCTTAATTTTGCGGATGTCTTATTACCTCATAAAACTATTTAAATTCACAATAAATATACTTTTTTGATTAATTTTAACACCACTCGTATCGTCACGAAATTTGAGCGCGTGAAGAATTGTTCATACTGCTTCAGACAAACGTAAAATTGTCACGTGGCACTCCCAATTTGACTTATTTTAAGAAAAAAATACAAAACCCCATGTATTAATTTTTTTAAAAGCTTTATTAAGAATAGTTTTTAATTTTTAATTTTTTTTTTCATATTCTCTACCATCATTAGCTTGCCCATGTTTCTTGGGCATCTATGTCTTTTTTTATTTTTTTCTAAACTAATATTATTGTGTTCATTCTTATTCTTTTTTATTTTGAAATACAAAGTAGTAGTGATTTTATTCCTCCTACAAATCAAGTTTGAAATTAAGAAATAGTGAAACAATGGAAAACTCAATTTGGGAGTAAGAAGTTGGAGAAGGAGGTGATCTAAATATCAGATTTTGACTTGGTAATATTTTGAATATTTAAATTTTAATTATTTGACAATATTTATTTTCATAAATAATTTAATAGGTGATAGTTTGACAAATAATTAATAATGCTGCCGAAAAATTTCGTCCCACAATAGTGGGTATCGCGATTGTTCTTCTGGAAGAAGGACTGACAAAGATACAGAAGTGAGGCAAAGAAGAAGAACGAGAACCAGATAAAAAAAGGAAAAAGAAAAAGAAAAGCAAAGAAATTAAATAAAAATAATTAAAAATTACTTTTAATACGTGTTAAGTGACTATTAGTGTGTGACTTACAAATCTTTGTACACAAGTGGTATTGACTGAAAAATGGGGTATATATACTATTGTGAAATTATTCAATGGGGTAATAGGAGACCCGCAAAGCTAAGATGTTTTTTTAAAAATTCGAGACAACTTCGATGGTGATTTTATATCTTTTCTCTTCTTTTATTAATGGAAAAGAACCAAAGAACTATATAAAATGTCTAAATATTACATTTATTTATCTATTTTACTAAAAAGTATTTGGCTACTTATAACTTTGAAAATAACAATTTTATTTTTATTTTCCTTTTAAAATTTATTTATTACGTTGGATGAAATAAAAGTTTTATTTTATTAAATTTTAGCAAAATAGTCTGATGGATCCTTATAGTTATATAAGTTTGTATCATGAACCCTCTTACTTCATATTTTGTCAAGTGAACTCTTAAATTCAAATAAAATAAGACTTTCAGACCCCTCCAATTATGTGTGTAAGTCACTCTCTCTAACAAAATGACATAGCATATCCACACCATATAAATTAACGTCATGTCATAATGTCACATCAGATAATATCGACCAAATTGTTAACTAATAAATTTTCTATTTAAAATATAAAATAAATATATTTCTCAACTTTCCTTCACCTCCACAACCACCATTAGAAATCTCATCACCGTCTTCATTTCTCTAATTCCTTTCGTTCTTCAAGACTTTCCTTCACCTCCACAACCACCATTAGAAATCTCATCACCGTCTTCATTTCTCTAATTCCTTTCGTTCTTCAAAAAATGACAATGAAGTTTTCTTGATTGGTAGCATTTAACCAATTAACTTGAATTAACAACTTTTTCTTAACATTGGATCTTATGACAGGTTTTTGAGGCTCGAAGAAGAGGAACATACAAAATCAAAACCATAGAGCAACGTAAAAAAATCTACTTGCTCTCCTCTCCACTTCTCTTCATCGTCCATTCTTTATTACTATGGAAATCTATCACAGACCAGAGTAAAATCGTCTTTGACTATCTTTTTGTTCAACATCTAAACTTTTATTGACATCGCTAAAACTCACTCTAACGGAGGTTCAGTAGACAAAATAGGCGAAGATGTAGACGAAAATGACGTCGCAAGGGACACCGAAATCCATATCATTCTAAAAGAAAAGGGAGAATTGAACCTCTATTTTTTGCAGTAACTCAAGAAGTGTATAACTTGACAGTAAATGTAAGATTAAATACTTCAAAACATAATATCAGGATCTTGAACACGATAATCTTACATAGAGATCGTTAAGAGTATATACCTGATTACAAATACATCATCACAATGAAAAGTGGAAGCGTTAGTTGTAAATTAGCTTTTACCTCTTTGCCCTTACTTTATGTTATCACAACCGTCAGCGATGAAATTATTGTTGTGATAACCCTAATGGGTGGAGGGAGGACCAATTTATAGAGGTTATGATTTAATCAGGTACGTTCATCAAGTAAACAGTGTATGGACGAGATCTATTCCTTATTAAATATTATTTATGGTATTACTTGGGTTACAAGTAAACATGGGCTATAACTAAGAAATAATTAATAATAATAATAATAATTCTTATAGTAAAATCATAAATGGATATTGGAGATCCTTAATCTATAGAAGAAAAAGATGGGTATCCATAGAACAAGAAAAAAGAAAGAACATGAAAGAAAAGAACGACCAAATTGGTGATACTATTCTTATTATGTTTAACCTATGCATATATAAGCCAAAATAATAAATAAATGGGGTGATAAAAATCTAATAAGATAATTGATATCAACAAATTAATAATCTAAAATCAATTCAACTTAAGTATCCACTTTCGCCATGGATTCGCTTATTGATAGAATGTATTGCCTTCACTTAATAAGTAATGGACCAGGTCCCTTACTTCACTTCAGAAAAATACCAGAAAGTTAAATGCAGTAAAATCAACACAATGATTTTACGTGGAAACCTCCTTGCTTAAGGGAGTAAAACCACGACCTGTCTCACAGGATTTTCAATCGTTTTAACTAATCTTCAAAAGCAAAAGCGAAACACGATTACACCAAACGTAAGAAAGAGTTATCAATCTTACCGTTAAGCAATAGTCCTCTATTGCTCAACAAGCCTAAGTAGAAAAACAATATACCCACTAAGCCTATCCCACCTGGACAACCTAGACTTCTAACACAACACACCAATTCCTTTATAGAGTTAGGAGTGGTTTACAATTTAAGAACAAGAGAATAAATTCCTAAACAACTAGACGAAAAGCTCAAGATGTTGCTATTGTCCTTGGAATAATTCTGCCTTTGCTTTGTGTAGCCTTTGCAAGATTTCTTGAAAAGTTTATATCAAGTTGCAAAAACTACTCACAAATGTTTAGGAAAGTTCCTTTTATATGGGCAAGTCACTTTTCTAAACATCTTTGCCATTGGCTGGAAAGGTCACACTTTTCTGACGCCATCGGGAAGTGTGCACCTACTTTCTGTACCGTCTCCAGCTGGCAGTCGACTAGCTCATCATCATGAGAGCCTGGTACCTCTACTAGGTCCCTGAGTTTGTTTCATCTGCAATACTTCAAACAAGACACCTGCAATACTCAAGTAGAAAACCCGGTACCTTTATGAGGTCCCTAAGTTTGTCAAATCATCAAAACTACAAATAACATTCTCCCCCTTTTTGATGATGATAAACAATGATATGATCTGAGATCTTCACCGGAATTGTTCCCCCTGACAGTGTATTCTCCCTTACTGTATATTCCCCCTTATTTAGGTACTAACAGATTACTTCCCCCTTATTTAGCTACTAACAGTTTACTTCCCCCTTTTGGCATCATAAAAAAGATATGCAGTAAACCATTGAGTCAACATAAATACTGAGCAAGATCAGAGCGAATAAGCAATCAAACAGTAGAGGAAGAGCAATCGCAAAAGAACATAGAAAGAACAGCAAAGGAATAAAGTAACCAACATGCCATTATAAAATAAATACATTAAAGACAAACTAAAAATCCATCAACACGATGATCAACCACACAAAAAAATGACACAGGAAAGGATTGATTGACAATTTAGGAAGAGGAGGGAGTTTGAGATAGGGACTGGATAACAAGAGTGAGTCGTGCATTGGCAACATCATTATCCTTGATGGCTTTTTCTTGCAGGGCAGTTATCTTCGCCTTCAACTCATTGTTCTCTTTCTCCAGAGCTTGTACAACTGAAGAACCAGGTCCCTCACTCTGTGCAGTAAGCAGCTTTGCTTTGAGTACAGCAATTTCAGCCTCTTTACTACTCAACCGCACAGTGAGTTCTTCAATCTCATGTTTAAGCTGATCCAGGTCCTCAAGAAGTTGAGCCATCTTGCTTTTTGGTAAGCCTCTGCCTTCAATACATTCACATTCAAACAAGGTATGCTCAGAGATAGTTTGTTTAACTGTCCCCACCTTTCCAACACTAAGAGGAATCTGAAAGTGCTTGAATACTTCAGTGAGAAAGTATTCATACCCCATTCCATGTACTCCTTTCCTCTCAATAACTGTTTTGTGAATGTGTTCAATCATGAGACTAGGAAGGCTTAGAGCCTCAAAGCTGCACAGCATCTCCATTACGTACAAGTCAGCAGCAGTAGCAAGTGTTCTCTTTTCTGTGCGAGGAAGAACCACTTTGTTGATGAACTCGAAGACCAGCTGATAATCACTCTTCATAATTTTCTTATAGATCCCAGCAACCTTAGTTGTGGGAGTCTTAGAAATCATGGAGGCAAATTTTGAAGAGCAAGTATTGTTCAGCACGGACCGGGTACCCTCTGTAGGCACTCTGAGGATTCTGCCCAACACCACCTCATTCAAAGAAATAGCAATATTGTTCACACATGTGAGGAGACTCCCATCTTCCATGAATTGAATATTGTAATAGAATTCATGAACCTCTTCTTCATGGAGGATGGGGGATTTCTTGTTTAAT